CCACTGTTGCCTTCTCAGGCTTTCCAGATGTGCACCTCTGGTCCACTACACCGGACTGTGAGCTGGCTCAGGACCACAGGCTGGGATGGCCTGGAGACATTTTTCTCCACCTCTTCAGTCAGTGGCGTCCTGCCAGCCCTGGCCACCCCCTTAGCAAGGCAGCCCCTTAGCGTGCTGCCATAGCTTGCCCCTCGTGGCTTGAGAGATTCATCTGCAGGCCTCCCCTTCCTAGACAGGGTTCTTCTCTCTTCAGCCTGGGTAAGTGGGCTTGCTCTTGGTTTTGCTTTGACAGTGGACTTGTGAATTGCAATATGAGTTTGGGTGCGGTGGCTCACGTCTGTAATCCTAGCACTTTGGGAGGCCGAGGTGGGCGGATCATAAGGTCAGGAGATCGAGACCATCCTGGCTAACACAGTGAAACCCTGTCTCTACTAAAAATACAAAAAAAATTAGCCTGGCGTGGTGGCGGACACCTGTGGTCCCAGCTACTTGGGAGGCTGAGGCAGGAGAATCGCTTGAACCCAGGAGGTAGAGTTTGCAGTGAGCCGAGATCGCGCCACTACACTGCAGCCTGGGTGACAGAGTGAGACTCTGTAGTCCCAGCTACTTGGGAGGCTGAGGCAGGAGAATCGCTTGAACCCAGGAGGTGGAGGTTGCAGTGAGCTGAGTCCCGCCACTACAGTCCAGCCTGGGTGACAGAGTGAGACTCTGTCTCAAAAAAACTAAAAACTAAAATAAATACATAGTAAATAAAATAAAATAAAATAAAAGAATTGCAATATGAAATTCAGCCAAGGTGAGTCTGATTAGGAGGGTCTGGGATCACGGGGCTTCCACTGCTCCTTTTATAGTGAGTAGCTCCGAAGGACCAGCATGCTCTGTCCCCGTCTCTCCCAAGTATGCATCATCTTAGCGAACAACCCATAAAAGCAGCAGAGATAGACTCTGTGGGTTGTCTTTGGAATATCCCAAGGGATTTGCTCCTCTCTGATCATGTAGGTCTGCGGCTCCAAGGACAGTCCGTCACCACATTATCTGGAGCACTCTTCTGTCATCCTCCCATCTCTGTCCTCAGGCGATGACCACAGCCCCGGGCACTGCTAATTGTGCCCCTTGCTAAGCTCCCACATTTTGTGTTACGGAGCAAGGATTTTCACAGGCTCATAGAGCATTTGCTTCCTTTCTAGGGTAATTAAGACACTAGAAACCATCTTGTCCAGTTCCCTGTTTTCAAAGACGTTGATGTTAGGGTCCCAAGAAGAAACGTAGACTGCCAGTGTTACTTAGGGTATTAATTCCTGAGCAGGTGTCTGGTGCATGGGGCCCTGCTCAGACCCCATTCTCTCCTCTGGTTCTCGATGGCCCTCGCCTCCCATTTCTTTCCATTTCCCAGAGAAGTCTGGTTGAACTTATGGCTTGTTTTTGCCTTAATTGACTATGAATTTATCTCCCTTAAAAAAGAGATTAAGCTGCATCACTTCTTCTTAGCGTGCAATGCTCAGAGACAATCCAGCAATTGATAGACTTTAGGGTTCGTCTAGGGAAGCGGGGGAAACAGGTACTGATTAAAGTGGAATAAATGGGGAGCGGAGCCCTCCTCCTACCCAGGCTCACAGAGGCCAGCCCTGCCCCACCTAGCGCTCTCATGGGTTCTGGTCTGCAGTTTTTATCTGAGTTCCATTTAGTTTCTGGTCTGAGGCTCTGGTCTGGCCTGGGTTCTGTCTGGGTTCTGTCTGGGTTCTGTCTAGGTCTAATCTGGGTTCTCTCTAGACCTGGTCTGGGTTCTATCTGGGTCTGGTCTGGGTTCTGTCTGGGTCTGGTCTGGGTTCTGTCTGGGTCTGATCTGGGTTCTGTCTGGGTTCTGTCTGGGTTCTATCTGGGTTCTGTCTGGGTCTGATCTGGGTTCTGTCTGGGTCTGGTCTGGGTTCTGTCTGGGTCTGGTCTGGGTTCTGTCTGGGTGGGTCTGGTCTGGGTTCTGTCTGGGTTCTGTCTGGGGGTTCTGATCTGGGTTCTGTTCTGTCTGGGTCTGATCTGGGTTCTGTCTGGGTCTGTTCTGGGTTCTGTCTGGGTCTGGTCTGGGTTCTGTCTGGGTCTGGTCTGGGTTCTGTCTGGGTCTGGTCTGGGTTCTATCTGGTCTGGTCTGGGTTCTCTCTGGATTCTCTCTGGGTCTGATTTGAGTTCTGTCTGAGTCTGGTCTGGGTTCTAAGTTCTGGTCTGGCTGTTCTGGTCTGCGGCTCTGGTCTGGTCTGGGTTGTGTCTAAACTCTGGTCTGGGCTAGCATCTGGCTGTTTCAAATACGGAACCTGGGCATCCTGCACGGGGCTGATGGGCCTTCAGTGGGCCTGGCTCTGGCAGTCTCCACACTTGTCATCCTGGGCGTTTATCCCAGCCAGAAAAACAGCGGAAGACCGCGCGCCCTGTGAACCAGAGCCCACAGGGACAGGGAGGCAGGCGCATGTCCATTATGCCAAGAAGTGGGCTGAGCAGAGCTCAGGGTGGGTAAGTAGGGCAGGCGGGGCAGGATGGTCCCATCTTCGCTTTATATTTCTATAAGAGGAACCAAATGCAGGGCTCTGCGGGGAGGATGATTTCCTTACATAAATAGAGAGGCGTGTGTGTGTGTGTGTGTGTGTGTGTGTGTGTGCGCGCGCGCGCGCGTGCGCGCGCTGGATACTCAGGAAACCCGACTACGACAGGAAGCCTCTAACTGGTGTTTCCTGGGCCCCTCAGCTTGGGATTCACTTTTAGACCTGCACAGGGTCGCTGTTGCGCCCGGGCTGTCCCACAGCAGGGCAGACTAATGTTTACTGGACTTTGCTTCCAGAGCCACTTTTAAGATTCTTCAATCCCAACTGCATGACTTTTTTTAAAAAAAAAAGAAAGAAAAACAGGCTTCTAATATTAGAGAAGTACAGCCCCGAATTGGGCCTTGGGTCCACTGCTGGACCCCATGAGGACCAGGTGGAGAGGACGCCTACAGCCCCAGTTGTGTGCACTCTCTGTTTGGTGTATATTCTTGCAATTCCAGTCTGGTGGTTCTCAATAGCAAGACCAGCCTGAGACCACCTGTCCTGCTTTTCCCATGCGAGGGCCGAATGCTTCCGCCTCCACACCCTGTCCTGTTCCTGGGGTCCTGGGGGTCATGGCAGCCTGTGTGTGCTTCCTCCAGCCAGGGTGACCATCCAGTACTCCAGCCCTGAGGGTCAGCCCCAGGCACTGTCACAGGTGAGAGCTCGGAGGCTGTGCCCAGCAGGAGACGTGGGCCCTGCCTGCCCTGGATGGAGGGAGAGAGGCTTCTGAGAACCTGAGGCATGGCCATGGTCAGACGATGGCTGCTGGTGAGCTCAGCGACTGGGCGTCTTCAGGCAGCTCCTTCAGGCAGCTCATAACTTTGAGAGGACACAGCCTAAGGGAGGTTTGCTGGGGAGCAGCCTCACTTCCACCCTGAATAGACAAGAGGCAGTAATTAGCAGGTACCCAGCATATAGTGCTTTCTCAGTGATATCACGTGAGTGCCCAGGGGCCTGGGTACTCCGTGGTGCAGGGAGCTTGCTCCTGTGGAGGAAGGATCTCTGTGGTCCCCAGCTCTTCCGTCTGCCTGTCCACTGAAGGGTACCCGTAGCTCAGCATAAGGGCTGTTCTTGGGGTTCCTGGTCCTCCTCCAGCCCTGCTCATCTGTTTAGGCCTCAAGTGCTGTGTGTTTGTAAGCATTGTTATTCACGGTCCTGTTGTACGAGCTGATTCACCTGCAGTTCTGAGCTGCTCTCCAGCCCCTGCCCTTTCTTCCTGTGCCCCTACCCCCGCTGGGATGACTCTCCTGGCCCTCCCTGGGGCGACAACCGCCCTCTCTGTAATGAGTGGCAGTCCCAAGCTTCCTGACTGGCTTCCGCAGCTCTCCGACTCCCCTAAACAAGGCCTCAGGGACTCCACATCCAAATTAAGGCGGCACCTGGTGACAGGTTGGCATTTTCCGGTGTCCTATCTACGAAAGACAGGAAGACAGCAGGAAGCAAACTCCCCTGGGCCAGACTCATGGAAACATACAGGCTTGGGTGCCCAGCTGGGGACCGGGAGAAAGCCAAAAACCCGGGATTGGGCCAAGGACCCCGAGGGTCCCTGTCTCATTAGGTGCCCTGAAATGCGTGGGAGCTGAAGTTGCATTCACATGATTCTTGATCATTTAACGGTGGATTCTGATCTGGTACTACACTGAGACATGCCCCTGGATTGGGAGTCATTATCTGTGCCTCTAGTTGCGTTTGTTTTATTATTTACAGCACTTTTAAACAGTCTAGCTGAAAAAAATTAACGTGGCTCTGCTTGGGACGTGTAGCTTTTCTCCTTTTATAAAGCTCTGAGATGGAGACTTGGCAGAAATTCCAAAGCAGTTTGGTGTGACTGCAAAATGACAAACTTTCTTAATTATTAATTAAGGGATTAATAATATATTGATTATTTAATTATATGTTGATTATTTCTAAATAAATCATACATACATAATTTATACTTATATAAATATATAAAGCATAAATAATTTGTAGATACAGTCAGTGAATTATTAATTAATACAGACACGTGCATAGCATATCAGGGGAGGAGCAAGCCGGTAGTGCTGCAGCCCAGAGCTGGCTTCTGCTCACACTGGCCGAGGGCCTGGGCAAGTCACCTGGGCCCACTGGACATTGCTTCCTCACTCTGAGACAGGAATGGTGGATTCCTTACAGACTAGACGATGAGTGGGAAGGTGCTTTGTAAGCGCTAAAGCATTACACACGTGCTGGTTATCATCATTATTATAACCCGTGAAATGCAACTGAAGACATAGACCAGGGAATTCAAAAGACACGAAGTTCATGTTCTTCCCTGGAATGCAGCCTTTTCTACCGTGCATGTCAAAGGTTGCCTTCGGCCTCAGTCGTGTGTACTTGAACATCTGCATATTTACTGCATTAGAGATAAAACAAAATGAAACGAATATGAATATGATCTGCTTTTTGTAGGCTACAAGACCCTTCTGAAAGGAATTTCCGGGAAGTTCAATAGTGGTGAGCTGGTGGCCATTATGGGCCCTTCCGGGGCCGGGAAGTCCACGCTAATGAACATCCTGGCTGGATACAGGTGAGCAGCCCTGCCCGGGTGTCAGGCCAGCAATGGGGGTAGTGGAGCTCCTTCCGTCAGCTCCATCGCCTGGAGCAGGCTGTGGTCTACGGCAGTGACTTCTGAACGCTCTGTACACACAGGCTCCAGCGGAGCACAAGGTGGGTTTCGGATCAGAAAGCTCTGGAATCTGTGAAGGAAACTGGGTCCAGGGGACAGAGTGACCTTGAGAGGTTGCACTCGCCAAGGGCCACGTGATGGGTGGAGACCCACATTTCAGAGAGGGGTCCCTGGGTACAGTGGCCACAGCAGCACCCTGGATGAGCTCAGCCCAGCCAAAGGGACAGGAAGAGGTAGGAAGGTCAAGGTCAGGGAGAGGGGTGGTCAGAGAACTTGGAGAGAACAGGAGTGAACGCAAGTTGAAGAGAGACAAGGCATTTTCGGAAGAGGATGAGAACTGTTTGGCTGAAGCTTGTGGTGGTCTTAGTTGTTTAGAAGTTTGAGCTGGGTGTGGTGGCTCACACCTGTAATGGCAGCACTCTGGGAGGCCAAAGTAGGTGGATCACCTGAGGTCAGGAGTTCAAGACCAGCCTGGCCATCATGATGAAATCCCATCTCTACTAAAAATACAGAAAAAGTAGCTGAGCGTGGTGGCAGGTGCCAGCTCTTTAGGAGGCTGAGGCAGGAGAATCACTTGAACCCAGGAGGCAGAGGTTGCAGTGAGCCGAGATCGTGCCACTGCCCTCCAGCCTGGGTGACAAGAGCGAGACTCCATCTCAAAAACACACAAACAACAACAACAACAAAGAAGGTTGGCGACCATTGTGTCCAATGTCATCCATTTGGGAATGATTAGAAAACTTAGATTAGAATCTTTAGAAGTGTTTAGAAGATGCTCTATTAAAGTCAGTTATTTTCATGTCTGATTGGTTTTATTTACTAACTTTGGCAAATAGTAATAATAGTAACAATTTCATTTACTGGAAAAATGGCAAATATCACCTTTTTCCTTAGAGCTTCTGAATTACGCCTTAATGCCGGAAATTGGGAGTCGAAAAAATCTCACTTATGGCAAATTCCTGCCTGTGACAGTCACATCTAAAGGTTAAAGCTGAATTCTCAGAGTGATGCAGGGCCAGAGGGGAGTGAGTATTCCTGCAGGCGTGGCGGTTTCTCAGTTCGTCAATACACCCACAGCTCTTCGCAGCCTGTATGGGTGCTTGGCATCCCGGAGCTGCGGAGGCCACTCAGGACAGGGCTTTCAGACCTGGGGATCCAGGGGAAGCCAGTTGACCCCAGCCTGTGCCCGAAGGAGAGAAGGGACCCGGCCGCAGACCCACAGTCATAGTAACAAACTGAGTAAAGTTGAAAGCTAGACATGCTTTCATTAGTCTCCATAGATTTGCGTCTGTTTTATTCTCCATAACATCTAGGAGGTAGGGCTGGAATGACTGGATCCTCAGAAGTATAGTGTGTAGACTGCCTGTGGCATGCACCAGCTCCCAGGCTGCACTGATGCTCCCACGACGGCAGGTGGCAGAGGCGCACAGTAGGTCTACAGTGAGCTGATGAACCAGCTAGTGAATGAGTGTGCCTGGTGAGGCACTGCCCGCCTCACAGGAGCACCCGGGAGGCGCTCAGCTTGCTCAGCAGAGAGAATTCTCCCTGGTGAAGAAGGGCCATGCACTCGGCTGAACCAGTCCAGGCCCCTCTCTGCTGGTGCTCCTTCCCAGGCCTGAAGTCTGCAGAGGTCTGGCCTTTGGGCAGTTGGGTGCAGCCTGAGCTACACACAGAATTGTTCAGAAGCCAATGTTACAAACCCCCACAAATCCGGGGGCTGTACATCCCGACCTCACGGCTGCATATAGGACCATCCCTGCGTATCTTTGTTTGGTAGGTCAAGAAAGTGCTGCCGTTAACCCTAGTGTAAACATGCCATCCCACAGAGGCCTGTGTGCAGCTTTCTCTTCCCACCGGGCGCGTTCTCTGTGGAATTTCTTCCTCCTGATTGCTGCAGTGCTAGCGAGGTCCGGTCCCTTTCTGCCGCTCGGGATCCCTGTGGCCAGTGGTTCAGCTGGGAAGATGCTGGGAGGCAAGCCCCCGTCTCTGGCTCCCGTCTCCTGCCCCGGGAGGTGGAGGAGGAGCAGGAGCCCGGCTGACGGCTTCTCCTGTCCTTGGCTCTGCAGGGAGACGGGCATGAAGGGGGCCGTCCTCATCAACGGCCTGCCCCGGGACCTGCGCTGCTTCCGGAAGGTGTCGTGCTACATCATGCAGGATGACATGCTGCTGCCACACCTCACTGTGCAGGAAGCCATGATGGTGAGCTCCGCCCTGCTCCGCCCCACCCCGCTCTGCCCCTGCCACCTGCCCCCAATCCCCACATTAGACACAGCACTGGCCAAGTGCCCAGCTGCGAGGGACCCAAGGGCTCTGCCACACAGCCTGCATGGGATCAGCACCCTCCCTCTAGTGGAGTGCTAACACCAGACTTGCTACTGGGACAGGTAGCGTCGTCCCAAAACCCCCCAAGACTGTGAGTTCAATGGACCTTGTTTGGCAGGGTTGGGGTCAAGTTTCTCAGAAGGTTATTAACCCGGCTGGCTTGGGTGATCCTATCCAGGGCAGCCACCATCCTATCCTGCAGGCCAGAGCTTGGGATTCTCCTTCCTGTCAGCCATCCTTGAGTTCTGTGTCTTTGGCCCAAGCACCCACTCACCTGGTGCCTTGCTCAGGACCCCAAGGGTCTATTCCTCTGACTCACCTGCCTCCCAGGTGGGAAAATGAAACCAGCAATGGCCAAGCATCTCCTGGGTCCCAGACCCCGAGCGCATAGCTCTACACACACCAGATAGGTCATCCCAAGAAAGTGGATGGGAAATGGAGCTTCCCCCAGTCAAGCCAGGAGCCCAGGGTCACACGGCTGCTGATGGCCACACGTGGCCAGAGCTGTCTGCCTCCAAAGGCGCACCTTTAATTGCCAACTCGGCTTCCTTGCCATACACCTGCTTTACCCTCACAGCCTCAGTGTCCTCATCTGCAAGACCGTAAGGGGTTGGTGTAAATATTGAAAGGAAAAATACAGGGAAGGTGGAGTAGAATTCTGGCATACAGTTGGTGCTAATCAGTTCAACTTGGTCACTGTTTCTTTTCACTTCTAGTAAGCCTCCCCATAGTGTCTTCACTTATGTCCTCTGTGGATAAGTCCATTATCTGGGGAAGTTTAAAAATACTTTTCCCTCTTGGGGCCACAGAAGTGTCCAGGGGATATCCTCAGCCTGGGTTTCTGGAATAGCTGGTTGTGCTCCTTGGACAGACCATGGCCCAGCCAAGTGCCATGCCTCTGGGCTTCCAGGGCCCTTTTTTTTTTTTTTGAGATAGAGTCTCACTCTGTCACCCAGGCTGGAATGCAGTAGCACGATCTCGGCTCGCTGCAACCTCCACCTCCTAGGTTCAAGTGATTCTTCTGCCTCAGCCTCCCACGTAGCTGGGACTACAGGCGTCCACCACGATGCCTGGCTAATTTTTGTATTTTTAGTAGAGATGGGGTTTCACTACATTGGCCAGGCTGGTCTTGAACTCCTGACCTCGTGATCTGCCCACCTCGGCCTCCCATAGTGCTAGGATTACAGGTATGAGCCACCGCTCCCGGCAGGGACCATTTTTTTTTTTAAGGCCTAACTCATGGTGACTGATACTGCATGGACCTAATTGTGAGCAGAGGCAGCCCTAAGAATCCTCCCATTAAGAGGAGATTGAAAATCAGCGTGCAGCTCCAGTTGCCAATCATGGCTGGCTTTGTGTGGGGGACTGTTTACATTTCTGCTTCCTCCTTGTTCGCTGCAAAAAAAGAGTCCTCAGCCTTCATGTCTCTCCTGCTACCCTAGGGGGACATCCTCAGCTTGGTCTGCTCTGTACTTTGGTCAGTAGATGGGGGTTCACCTTGGTTTTCCACCTGGAGAGACCCTGACTTGGGTTAGGCATTCCTGACTTGGGTTGGGCAAAGCTTTCTCCCCATGGTGTCTGAGGGTGGCAGCTGCCCAGCGTGTCATGTGAAGGGCAATACCAAGGGGTTCTTAACTCAGCAAAGAGAAGCAGGTTACATTTGCAGACACATGATCTGCTCCCTAAGCTTCTTTGTGGGGAAACAGGAAGAGGAGAACCTGTGGGACTGTTCCCAATCACGTTCCCTGGTCTTGTGTGTTCTGTGGGTAAGCGGACGCCATTCCCCTGGGCCCAGCCTCCCTGGGTGGTGTGTGCCCCGTGGAGCCCTGACTGTTGATCTGGCCTCCAAATGGACGTTCAGGTGGGGCACAGAGGATCTCTGAGGAGTTGGCAAACAGCTGCAAAGCAACCTTGAAGTTTTTCTTGACCCTAATGTTCACTGTTCCATATATGCCTTAAGTGCAAGCTCCATGCACACTCTATTGATTCCTGAGCAGCTCCTGCATCTTGGGTAGCCCGAGTTTGGCTTCTCAGTGAGTTCTTGAGTGAACCCCATGGCCATGTGCTCGAGACTCTTCGCTGGGACCCCAGCTCAATGGCTGTATTCTCCGCACATGCGACTAGGGACTCCCGCTGTTTTCTCCCAACTTCGCCACTGAACCTGCTGTGAAATGATCTATTTTCAGAATCAAATTCAGTTGGATTTTGATTCTGAGAATTTCATGAGGCCCTGGAGAAATACTTTGAGGCTACGGTACGTGTTACCACTCAAGGTCCTGTCTCACATGGAGGAGACATTGGCCACCTGTTGCGGAGTCCCAATCCCACATCAGACACAGTTGTGCATTTTTATGCTTTTCACCCTCACCACCAGGCAGACTGAGAAATGGCAGACAGTGGCACATGGCAGGCAGCTGGCCCTGCCCAGGAGCGCGGGCCTGACCTGGTCCAACTCTGGGGCCTGAGACCTCTTTGCCACCCGCCGCCCCCTCCACCACCCTGCATCTCACCCTCTCCTCTGATCCTCACAGCAACTTTGCTAGCTAATGGGGTGGACAGAGCTTCACCTCACTATTGTACCTGTGAGGAAACGGAGGCTGCATGTTTGCCCATGACCACAGGAGGCAGGAGGGTGGAAGCAAGGCCAGTCCTGCACAATGACGATCTACTCTGGGTTTTCCCAAGCGGGGCCAGGAGCCCAGTGCTGTGTTAGCAAACGGGATCTCAAAAAACACAACAAAACGCGGCATCCTGGTGTGTCGCCCTCGTAAATTCCTGTGTTTTAAAGACTCTCCCTGTGGATAAGTTCAAGCCTCAGCAGTTTAACAGGCGGTTTGTGGAATTCCTAATTCGCAGCACTGGTTCTGCCCAGGCTGGTCGCCAAGCCCCTGATGCCTGGGGCTGTCTTACCTCTGAATGGCCCACATCTGACTTCTCTCCTGGGTACAGCAGAGAATTCAACTGAGACAGCAGGAAGCATAGCACATGGACTGCTCTCCTGCGATCCTACCATTATTAAAGCAGGGGGCATTGGAAGCCAAGAACTCCTGGGTTTTCCATGGTGATCAGCTAGCTGCACTGTGGCTAGTTGCACCATGGCTAGTGGCACTGTGGCTAGCAGCACCGTGTCTAGCTGCACTGTGGCTAGCGGCATTGTGACTAGCTGCACTGTGACTAGCTGCACTGTGGGTAGCTGCACCGTGGCTACCTGCACTGTGGCTAACAGCACTGTGTCTAGCTGCACTGTGGCTAGCAGCATTGTGACTAGCTGCACTGTGGCTAGTTGCACCGTGGCTAGTGGCACTGTGGCTAGCAGCACTGTGTCTAGCTGCACTGTGGCTAGCGGCATTGTGACTAGCTGCACTGTGGCTAGCTGCACTGTGGGTAGCTGCACCATGGCTACCTGCACTGTGGCTAACAGCACCGTGTCTAGCTGCACTGTGGCTAGTTGCACCGTGGCTAGTGGCACTGTGGCTAGCAGCACCGTGTCTAGCTGCACTGTGGCTAGCGGCATTGTGACTAGCTGCACTGTGGCTAGTTGCACCGTGGCTACCTGCACCGTGGCTAGTGGCACTGTGGCTAGCAGCACCGTGTCTAGCTGCACTGTGGCTAGTGGCATTGTGACTAGCTGCACTGTGGCTAGCTGCACTGTGGGTAGCTGCACCGTGGCTAGTGGCACCGTGGCTAGCTGCATCTTGGCTAGCTGTACCGTGGCCTGCAGTGCGGGCGTGAGGCTCACACTGCTGGTGGCCATCTGTTCTGCTTCTACACTGTTGTCCTTGTCCCCTGCAGGTGTCGGCACATCTGAAGCTTCAGGAGAAGGATGAAGGCAGAAGGGAGATGGTAAGTGGGTTGTTCGGGGCCCACAAGTGGTCCAGAAAGTACAAGAAGTGCATGTGGACAGTGTGCCTGCTGGGGCATTTTGGCACTGGCTTTTCTTTGTTGATTTGTTTTTGCCTTGTCTTCCATATGTGGGACAGGTGACATTTCAGGGAATGCCATGGCCTGTGGCAGCCAGAGGCCAAAAGAGGCAGATCTGGTGCACACGTTCATGGCTTTAATTCTCAGATGCAGGAGTCAGAATGTAACGTGAGGGACAACAACCTTGGCACTCATGGGGCCAGAAGATGCCAGCTTCAGGGTTAGACTAAGAGTGCTGCCCCTTTTAGTGTTTAATATGATCGATATTAGATTTTTTTATAAGACAGTAACAATGAAGATGGTTAGTCATTCGTTTAAAAATAACCACCCTCCACCCACCTACACTTGCAAGAAGAAATTTAGTTCTTACGTGTTATTAACCAGCCTCTTAAAAAAGAAAATAAATATGTTTCCAGGATGGTGAAGGCTTTCTAATCCCTTTAGCCATTTTTTTTTTTTTTTGGCTTCCTAAACCCAGGGAGCAGGGATAGGTGCAGGTGGGCAGAGCCAGGGGGAGCAGTAGAAAGCTACACGGAGGAAGGAGCAGCCTGGACTCACACACCCTCCACACGAAACCCACTGTCCTCTCCACTGTGGCCAGTGCTGGTGGGATTTTCAGCGTGAGATGGAATTTGGGGAACCCCCCCTCTATAAGATTATCTTTCTCTCCTAACACCCTTAAAGGACCACAGTCTGGCAGCTGAGAGTGGGGTTTGCTGGGTTAGTGCCAATGGCTCGACGTGGCCCTTTGTGTTCTGGTATAAAATGCAGTGATTGATGGGATAGAATCAAACATGCTGAGAAACAGTCACAGCAATTCTATTTCCGGCCTTTCCCCCTCTCCTGTCATCTGTAATAGCTAATATTAAGTAAATGTAAACCACTTTGGTATGGAAAAAAGAGCTGGATAACCTTAATGCTCCTCCTCCCCCAGCAACTGTGCCCTTCGAAACTCAGGATTCAGCCCATGTCATCAGGGCTTGGGGATGAGATGCCTGGTGCAGGTAGAAAGAGCCCAGTGTCTGAGAGAAGGAAAACAATTCTTTGTTGCTACAGAAAACATTTTGTGTGGAATTCTTTTATTCTGCGATTGAGAAGAAAATGGATGAACAGAGCCCAAAAGAGAGAAAATGTGGAAATTACAGGTGTTCCTGGCCCTTCAAGGGCAGAAGACCCAGGCTTGTGAGTTTATTTTCTAGGCTGAAAAGCAAGAGCCCTCTCTGGACAGTGTTTTCTAAACAGTGTAACATAGACACACCCCCCCACACACCACCTCCCACGCCCGAGTGTTACTTATACCAAGTTATGGAAGATGAGTGTTATGGCCTGAATCCCCCCAAAAAGATGATATGTTAAAGCCTACGCCCCAGAAACCCAGAATTGGCTGTATTTGAAGATCGGGTCTTTACAGAGGTAATGGAGTTAAAACGGGGTCATATGGGGGGGCCTCAGTCCAGTCTGACTGTGTCCTTGTAAGAAGAGGAGAAGAGAACCCAGACACACACCAAGGGACGACCCCGTGAGGACACAGGGAGGAGGTGGCATCTGCCAGCCCGGGAGAGGGGCCTCAGGAACCAGCCCTGCTGCCCTCAATCTCAGACTTTGGCCTCCAGAATTGAGACAGGAATTTCTGTTGTGGAAGCCGCCCGGTGTGGGAGATTTCGTTACAGCAGCTCATGCTGACTGAGACGGCAGCGAACGTAACAAATGAAAGCCTTAGTTCCAGGCACACAGAAGAACACGGAGAAAAGCAGGTGTCAGAGCTGAGTCTCGCAGTCTCCCACAGGAGATGAACCCAAATCAACAGAACAGGGCGCTGGGCTTGAGCCAGGGCGACCTCCACTCTCCCTGTCTGAGGTCAGCTTTGCCACCCCCCAGTCCTGGGCCCTGCTTGCCATCAGCTGCAGGACAAGAGGAGAGGCCGGCAAGAGTGTGCAGCGCCCCACGAAGCAGAGGCTTTTCCATCCGGAGACTCAAGAAGCTGCTCCTCCCGAAGCCTGGAGGACTGCAGTGCCCCTGGGACCGCCTGTTGGGGCCCTCCTTCCCATCACCCAGCCTCCCTGCTTTCACAGGGTGTCGGAAGCACAGTCCAATCTCTTTCCCTTGGATAGCCCTCCATCAAGGTCCCGAAGACCCCTCCAGACGCTGGCCTGCAAGCTGAGGGGCGGCTGTGGGGGCTCCAAGGAGAGACGGCAGAAGTGGTCACTGATGCTCAGTGTGGAGGAGGAGCCAAGAGCTCTGGAGGGGGAGGTGCTGGAGAGAGGGAATTCTGTCTCGCTGACCCAAACCAAAGGCCCAAGGACAGAGCAGACGGTGGAGAGGGTCTCCGGGATCACCGGAGGCAGGGGGAGCAGACGCAGGAGGCAGAGGGTGGGGAGACTTGCTAACACGGAGAGGCCCTGGGGTGAAGCGGAGCTGAGCACACAGGGGAGCCCTCCACCCTGGCCTCCTGGAACCCACCGGATGGCCTTGGGCCGCCGTGCCCATAACGTAGGGACAGGAAACCAGGCCCCACCTGCCTTTTGGGGCAGTGCAACCTGAATTGAATGGATTCTTTAAGGTCAATGAGCTCGATGGAGCCCATGTGATCCATATGGGAGGAGCTGTGGGATTGCTTCCCTGCAGCATAAGGCGACAGCCACCAGCCTCTTCTGGCATAGCTGGCAAAAGTCGCCCTCCCCGAGGGCTGGGTGCACAGTGAGTGCTGCTCAGCAGGCTCCATGCCAAGGACACAGCAAGCCAGGCCCTTGGACTGCCAGAGCCGGAAGACCCAGAACAAGCCGGCATCTCGGTGGAGAATGGAGGCGCCTCCCAGGGGTAGCTACACGAGGCCCAAAGGCAGATGGCACCCATAGGCGTGTGTCCTCGTGGTGCCTGGGCCCTGCCTAAGCCACGGCCCGGACAAGAGCCTCCAGCTATTTTCAACTGGGTTTACAAGGGCAAAAATATCAACTCACATGGCTGAATCATCCCTGAGGAGTGAGCCCCTGGCGCCGTTCTCAGATTCCTCTTCGGCTGGATGGAACAACACAGAGAGCCCTCCCCGCAGGACCTGGAGGCCACACTGCATCCTGCACATGCTTCTCACCAGCAGACCCAGCTGTTCCTCAGCCATGGTGCAGGTGCCTCCCTGACGGGCCCACCATGGTGCAGGTACACACCTCCCTGACGGGCCCACCATCAGGATTGCTTCAGAACACGGCAGCAACTTCATGCTTCACTCACTTCCCTCCAACCCCCAATGTGCACCTAGGTCGACGTTCTCTGTGTCTCATGGAAACAAAATGGAATGGAATGTTCTAGAAGATCGTGGAATTTTGCTGTGTTGTTCACGGCCTTCCTTGATCCTCAGCAAAGCAGCCTCAATCCCCCAGAGCCCTCCAGCAAGGCCACTTCCTCAGGAGTGAGGTCTCCGGGAGCAGCCTGGGCTGCCGAGACCCTCCCTGGAGCGCCCACTGGGAAACCCCAGCGGGGCTGGAGCTACAAGCAGCCTTGCAATTTTTTTGTCGGTGTGTTTCGGAAAAATGTATAAATGACTGAGATCATTGTTAGTTCTTTCTGACTAGTCTTTAAAACAGAACCCATCTGGGTGGCATCACTCCTGAGAGGACACTGGAGAAAGTGGGGTGGGCCCAGCTGATGGGCAGGGGTGCGGAGGGAAAGGCACCCATGGCAGCCTCCGCTTCCAGCATCCCCTCCGTGAGGGTGGAGAGAGAGAAGACGTGCCGCATGTGTGGGGCCCCCACAGTGAGCCTGGAAGCACCAGAGCCATTCAGTCGGCCGGCAGCGTCGCCCAGTGGTTCCGGAAGACCTGGAGACCTCGTCCGGGAAGACCAGCAGTCGATGCCGGCCGGGAAGAGGGCCCTGCCCACCTTGCACGTCCCCCACACACCAGCCTTTTCCAGACAGCCTCCCAGAGCTGTTTCTGGGTTGGCGGCCCTCAGAGCCAGGCATCCAGGGGAGGCACCAGGGCTGGGGTGAGGGCATCAGCAAGGACGTTCAGGACAGGGCTGGAGCCCAGGTCAGCTGACCCTGTACTGCCACCTGCCCCGGCCTGTCCAGCAGCCGTGCCCTGGTTCTTTCTGTCACCAAAGCTGCACTTTGTACTGACCGTGCATAAATAATTCAAAAGCTCAGAGTGGAAATTTTCTTCCTTGTGAGTTCTTCCTCCCTTCGGATGACTTCATCTCCCTAGAGGAGCTGCCGGAGTAGGGTCCACTTGCTATGGCCGCCAGGGGTCGGCCACCACAGGGCTGCCCTGGCAGGGTGGGGACAATGGCTGGGTGAATGCTGGAGGGAGCTGCAGGCAGGCTGTCCCCAGGGTAGGGAGGCAGGGATGGCAGTGGCTGACCCAGGCCCTGCTTCTGAGACGATGCCGGGACTGAAAGCTACACCAAACCGGCACAGAAATCTGCTGACCTTTGTGTTCCCTGAGTCGATACAGGATCAATAATCTGGAGCAGACAGGGAGGGCTCCGTGCACAGTGCCCTGCTTATGTCTTGGCGTGCAGCCTGCTTCCTGGAGCCCACGCCGTGGTGTGGCTACCGTAGGTCATAACTGCTTTGAGGGGCACTGCAGATCTGTGTTGTTGCCTTCCCGGCACCTCAGAGACCTTGTTTTCAAGTCAAACCTATTTACAAGAACAAAAGTGACTCTGTTCCCCTTCCCGAGAGCCCTGGCATGTGTGACTGTGTTCCTGCCCTTAACACCTACCTCAGCGATGACGGGAGTGCTGGGAACAGCCCCTGCGGACTTCACGCTGCCCCCCGTGGACTCCACCCTGCCCCACTGTGGACTCCACGCTGCCCCCCCTGCACACTCCACGTTGGCCCCCCAACGGACTCCATGCTGCCCCCCGCACTCTGCATTCACTCTTTCAAGTAACCGTCACAGCAACTCTCCCCTTCGTTCTGGGCAGAAACCACCAGAAATTGTGCATCCTCTCATGTGTCCATTCATCAGCCACTGACTGGACACCTCCTCCGTATGGGGCACTGGGCTAGGCTTAGCAGTGAGGAACGTGCCCTGGGCACCTGCCAGAGTGCCAGAGGCCATATGACTGATGAGGACGCAGGCTCTTGTGTCTGACCCCAGCACTGTTGCACAGCCTCTGGGCAGTGCAGAGCCTCTGGGCAGTCTCTGTGCCTCATCAGGACTGCTGACGTGGAAATGGCACCTGCCCCACTTGGCACTGGGCAGCCTGGGGTGGGCTCGACTTCCGCAGCCTCCATGTGGACCGGGCACCGTGTGTCCAGCAGGCTGAGGGCGGCCGTCAGGTCTTCCCGCGTGGGCCATGGAGGTAGTGAGCTTTGGCGGGCAGCTCCCAATGTCTCTGGTTCTGTTGCCCCAGGTCAAGGAGATACTGACAGCGCTGGGCTTGCTGTCTTGTGCCAACACGCGGACCGGGAGCCTGTCAGGTGGTCAGCGCAAGCGCTTGGCCATCGCGCTGGAGCTGGTGAACAACCCTCCAGTCATGTTCTTCGATGAGCCCACCAGGTAAGTCAGGAGCATCTGGGCTGATGTCCAGGGGCAGGAACAGCCCCCTCTATTCAGCAGTTCTTCCAGGTGACCCTGACATCCTGATGTAGCCTCAGAGGGGGTGAGCTCACCCAGCGGTTCCTCCTTCCATCTGGGACCACTGGGTAGAAGAGCTGACTTACACCCCCTGCCTCCCTC